GAATCCCATTATGATGAAGAACGTAGTCTGTACTGGGTTTTATTTAAAAGGTATCAAAAATGTTGAGTGCTTATGGAATTGCTGAATTTGTAGATTGAGTTTGAGGAAAGGATGCGGAGTACTTCAAGTTTTTCGCTATGTTGATTGTGTATGATAAATTCGTTTTGATTGTAAATTTTGACCCAAAAGCTAAGAAGTAGCAGTTATTTTTTAACCCATTCAATTCAATTCAACTTATAACATTAAGTTTTATGACTTTTATTTTCTTGAACCAAAATAAAAGACCTATTATGACAGATATTTTTTCTGCTCTTTGGAATAGATATACTCGGACTTTTATTTTTCTGTCCTAAAATAAAAGTCCATATATGACAGAAAATTTAATTATCGTTGAAACACGTCACCTTAAGCCTTTAATGTGTACGAAAATATAATAAAAGTTCTTTTTTTTAATTTCTGTTTTAAAATATTTTCTATAAATTTTTAGGCTAGTGGAACAGTCTATGGAGAGTTCATAGTTTTATATTGATAATGAAATAGTTGTTGTCATTTAGACAGAAGTTCAAGATGTTGTGAAATGTGTTTCTGGGGATGTCGATATTTCGCTGTATTGCGTCGAACTTTCTCATAATTATTTTTATAGCCAAGTTGGTTGGTATGTTTGTAAAAAGTGACACCACATCAAAGGACACCAACAAATCTTCTTCATTTATGCATACGTTTTCTAATCTATTTTTTAATCTGAAAGCATTTTTTATATTGTATTCGCCCGAAGTTAAACTGCTCAAAATTTTGCCAATATATTTGGACAGGCCATAGCATGAGACGTGGATCGATGACGATATCGGTCGTAAAGACATATTCAGCTTGTGTATTTTTGGTAAGCCGTAAAGACGGGGAGCAGTGGGCGCGCTGCCAATTAGTGTTTGTTTATCTTTCCAATTTATAATTTTGTTTTTATACAGTTGATCGACAATGTTGTTTTTCTTTTTCTGCAGTTTGTTTGTTGGGTCATTTCTTAGCGTTCTATATGTGCTCTTGTCTTCCAGTAAACTGTTCTTTTCTTCCTTATATTCTGCTCGAGTTTTATTGAAAGCTGCCAATACAAATTTCTCCGCTGGATTGTTTTTAGTGTTACGCTAGAATTTCAAAATTCTATTGCTTAATTTACTTCTTTCTATCTCTTTATCTGTTTCTTCCTCTATCTGTTGAATAATTTGTTCCATCTCAGCAATCACCTTTATTGGTTCGAGAGTGGTTCCCTTCGTGGGCAACGCGAACTTTCTTCCTAGAGGGAGTAGCCATTTTACCTCCGCTGGAAAAACAATATTTGTTTTGTTTATAAACCACTCACTGTTCACACATATTCCTAAATGTTGTAGTTGTTTTTGTTTTAGTATTTATAGTTTCGCTGTTTGTGTTGCCTGTCGTTCCTCCATTATTTTGTGGCTTAACAAATTTTGGTGAGATATTACAGAGTTTAAATCAGGTTCGTGTAGAATGAGCCTTAGTGTTCGCTCCGCGTAATTTATGTGATCTCTTGTTGATTTTATGTTCATGTTTGTTTGTGTAATCTCTATGTTGAGTATTCTTTTTAGGAATGACCGTTTCGTTGTTTCAATTTGCTGCTAATTTATTTTCTCAGATGTTGTGCTACTTACTCTGTTTACAAAACACAATCAATTCGACAAGTGTACCATTAGAAGCTGGTACCGATGCTTAGTTCTTAAGCCTTTTACTAGCCTATATATTTGTAAATGTAAGTTGTGTTAGTTTTTGTGTTTGTTGTTGTCTTTGATCATCACATAAATGTGTTTTTGTTTGCTTTAGTAATGTATAATTGTAATTGTATGAATGTCTTTGTTGTTTTTCAATAAAGACTTGCGCCCCTGAATAAGCTAAGGAAGTTAGCGAAACGTCGGGCATAAAGTGAAGGAAACTGTGTTTTCACTTGCACCAGTTAGATCAACCAAAGCCTATACAAGCAATAAAATAAAGGAATTTTATTATATTTTCCTGCACATAAAAATCTTAAGGTGATTTTTTCAACGATAATTAAATTTTCCGTCATATATGCACTTTTATTATAGGACAGAAAGATAAAAGTCCAAGTATAACCGTTACGAAAAGCAGAAAAAATATCTGTTACAAAAAAGACTTTTATTTCAGGTTAAAAAAATAAAAGTCACAAAATAACACATTATGTTGAATTTGATTTTATAGGTTAAAAAATAATTTATTTCTTTTGACTTTGTGGTAAAAAAGTAAGAAAATAACAATCTTAAGATAATTTTATGGAAAAGACTCATAACAGTTACAGTCCCTGATTTAGGTACTTAGTCGGGTTGGGTAAATAAGCGGGGAGATACTAGAGATAGAGAGGGATTTTCTTCAGGTTACATTAAAATATTCATGGTGCCCAAAAATGTTGGTTACCTAAGTGGGGTAGGTACTTAAGCGGGTTTCACTGTAATTGTATTCGTTTTTCTTTTTCGAATTCCATTGTTTGCCAGTCTACACATCAGAGAAAAGCTACTCTGCTACTTGAATTTGGAGCTCCTTTACAGAGGCCACCGCGACCACCTCTGCGCGCGACCTCTAAGGTTTAGGAAGGAAATACATCTAGGAATATTTCTGCATCAAAAATAAAATTTTGAAAAAAATAACGCTTACGTTATTTTGGCGGTTAGGGCTCGATATGTACATATCGTCGTTTAAAGTGCAAAACCGCGTATCAACAAAATGCAAAACCGCGTATGTGAAGCTGTAGAAATTATTTTCTAGAGCGTAAAAACACTCATATTTCAAAATGGTTCTCTTTTTTATGAAGCAATCGCATTTCTGGATAGTATATTTCAGGACGAATGGATAAGGATTGGGTCAAGAGCTTGTGTGAGCAAATCCAATTTTTGGCAGCCAATGTCAGTTACGCGGTTTTGCAGAATGACGATACGCGGTTTTGTACTTTAAACGACGATATACAGCTTGAAACGAGTTGATAGTACGTAC